GCTCCCCGCTTATGCTAATGAAGCCCGGGAAATTCAAATCCCGGGCTTCATTAGCAAGTGCGGTATGCATACATTACCCCGCTAGTTCGAACTAGCGGGGTAGTGTAGACATACCCTGAGATACTTTATACAGGCAGTCCCCGGGTTACGTACAAGATAGGGACTGTAGGTTTGTTCTTAAGTTGAATTTGTATGTAAGTCGGAACTGGTACATATTGTAGGGGAAACTCTAGCCAAACATTTCTCTAGAGCTCAGTTTTATTCTCCCACACCTCACTTCCCTCAGTCCTTTATTCTCAAGGTGAGGTGTCTACTGAGAAAAGCCGCTCCGCGTCTCCCTGGTCTGCTGGGGCGGAGGGGGGGGGGAGCGCGCTAGCTTCGCGTCTCCCTGGTCTGCTGGGGGGAAGCAGCTAGTGCGGGGTTGCCTCACCCCGTTTGTAAGTAGGGATCCAATGTAAGTCGGATCCATGTAACCTGGGGACTGCCTGTATATGTGTATACACAATAGTTACAAGGAAATGGTATTCAGACAATCTTTAAATAAGTGTGTTGTTTCTCCAAAACAATAAACCAGTTAAAAGATCTGAAGTAGATTTGATGTTTCTGTGATATTAATGTACAATAATAAAATAGATTTTGAAAAATTGTAATACATGTTTAGTCTTCAGTTTTGAATAAAATGATATATCTGAGCTGACATAAAAATAAGCAGTTTGTGGTTTTGGAAAACCTTGGCAAGAATGCATAAGTTATTTTTGCAGATCTTACATTCTATAGGATACAATTATAGTAGCACAAGTTTTAGAAAGATTGAAAAAGTGAGTGCTCGTAATAAAAGGAAAACATGGATACACACACACAGTAGTTGATTACAGAAATACCCTGGAGCAGCACAATTGTTTATTTAGGGTTAATCATTATATAGGCAATAAGTATGTGAACTAAATTACAACATGAATATTTCATAAACCATTTTGCCAAGTCAGCACCATCTTGTCATTCAGGCCTTAAAAAAAACCAACCCTACTACTCTGATACCCATAACACTTGTATCTCATGTGAAAGAAACAAGGTGAATTCGAGTTTGTCATCTTAATCTCTTCTAGATCGTAAGTTGTGTGGGGTCAGGACTGCATTCAACTTTGGGTATTGTACAATGCTGAATATATTGTTTGCACTGATAAGTAATAATCATTCCCTTCAATCTCTTAGCCGAATTGGGAGACTACAGCCATTCAGAAAACTTGCCAGGCTACCTCTCAGACTACTCTTTCATCCCTAGCCAGCCTCAAGACTTTGAAAAAGAAATAGCAAAATTACATCATCAGCATATGTAAGAATTTACAGAAAAAATTACCCCTACTTTGTCATATTGTCTATAGATGTTTCATTTTTTTAAACTTAACAGGTGAATTTTTATGATGCAGTATTTTACATGTCTTAATATTAAGTATTGACACAGTGTGGAGGAGGAGGAAGATTGAGAATGAATGTGCTAATCTTGAAATTGGTTTGAAGATAGGCTTTATATAAGACCTTATTTATTGATAGTGTGGATTTTTATAGGACATTTTTGTTTCTTTAAGAAAAATCTTCACTCATTCCTAATGATCTCTTCATAAGGTTTCTGTATATGTTGCCTTTACGAGTATCAAGGAATTACTGTAGAAGAGTGTGTGTATGCATACATTCAGAAGTATATTAAAGAGGACCTATGTGAACTTCAAAAGTTTGTAACGCCACCAATTTGGTCCAATAAAAGATGCTTCTGCTATCTTGTGTCACTCATATCCCGGGACCAAGATAGCTACAATAACACTGCAGGTAACTCAGGAAGATACCCCATTTTGCCATTTAAAATGGAACCTTCACAACATAGAGAAGGAGGAAGCCAGAGTGAATAGCAATATTCACTTCCTGTGCAGATGCAATAAACAAAATAATTCTCTGAGGATTCACCATGCACAATCCTGTGACAACTGCTCAAGACTCCAAATATGCTGAACAGTTCTGCAGAGAAATGAGGAACCATCTCCTGAATTTCACATACTACAGAAGGGACAACTTCAAACAAGAAATCATCACATGCTCTCCCACACTGGTATTAAAAAAAAACAACCAAAAAACAGGAAACCCCAAATAACTATTAAAAAAAAAATCCAATGAAAGCCAACAACACAGAACCCAAAAGTGAAGCCAACTACAATTCCACAACTGACACCACTACTTCTGAGTGACACCATAACCACATCACAAGAGCACTACATAACACTCAGCATCATAAACCTATCAAGACTTCTATATAGTAGTATAGGTAGCACCTCCAAAAACCAGTAGTCTCTGGTCTGGCAACATCCTTGGTACAGCAGGGCCATGGATGCTCTTGGGCTCTCTGTTGCCCCGGACCCTGGCTGGCTTGCCAGCTATTAATACATTTAAAAGGCAGAGCCACAACAGGGTTAGCTCCTGGGGCTGGGAGGTAACCCCACTGCAGCACCCCCACTTATCAACTAATTAACTAGTCAATGAAAAACCCATCAACTAGTCGATTAGTTAATTAAACTAAATTTAACTTCTCTAGATTGCCCACAGACTCACCTGCAGATGAAACCCCATACACGATGATTACATTGCTTACTTTAGGTGAAAAATTGACTGAATTCCTCAAAAAGCTTTATATCGCTAGAACAGGGGTGGGGAACCTTTTTTGGGTCAGGGGCTGCAGACCCACAAAAAATTGGTTGCGGGCTATGTAGAAGTGAGAAAAACAATAACAAAAAAATTAACAACCCCTCACTGAGGTGGCCCCTGACTGAGGAGGAGAATGACACTCCCCATGTTCCCCTTGCACGCCAGAGCCTAGGGGGGCCTAGGCTAGTACATTGTGTACTCCAGCCGCACTGTGGGATGGCGGAGGGGGTGGGGCTAGAGCACCAGCGCAGGCTTCCCAATGCTGGGAGCGGAGGGGGAGGAGCCGTGAGCTTCAGAGGCTGCATCTGGTTCCCGGGCCTGAGGTTCCCCATTCCTGCCCTAAAATCTCTCTACCACTCTGAAATCCAACCAGGAGGAAAAGGAGGTGCCGTTGTAGTCTGTAATCATGATGGTTACATCAATGAGGCCAGCACATGATTCTAATACCAACTACCATAAAAGACTCGAAGAAGGCCTCACATTACAGTTTACACAGGGATTAGAAGATAACATCAAGTCCTTTCCCCAACAACTCCAAGAAAAACTCTACACAAATGTATTAAAAAAACCAAACCCCAACCTCAGACAGACTCATCATTATCTGGCCATGACATTTTCGTGGTACGAATATCAGGACTCAATAGAAACCATCCTCAAACCATTCATCAAAAGGCCATCTTCTTCCAATACACTGCTAACTTTCTCCAAAAACTCCAACATAAATAGCCTTTCGGAATGGCTTTTGACATTATAGATGACATCTTCTGATGCACCAACATCCCTCACAGTGACGGCATCACTGCCAAAGTGTATTTAACAAACACTTTTGCCAAACCATGAATACTAGATGGCTCCCTAATATGCCATGCTCTTCATGGCCTATCTCAAGGAAGAATTTCAGGAAAAATGCATCACAAAGCCATGCCTGAGATATATCAATGATATTTCCATCCTCTGGACAGATGACCTAAATTCCTTGATAGATTTTTCCCCACAACTTCAGCAACCACCACGCATCAATCAAACTGTCTTCCGAAAACTCCCACATTAGCGCCAACTTCCTGGATAACACAATCAACTTCAACAGTGGAATCCTACAAACAACTCTTTGCTTGAAATCTATAGATCACCCCTTTTACACAGTCCCCAGATGCAACAATCATCCCAGACATGCAAATGAATCTGTTATCTGCAACCAAGCACTCAAATACTATAGTGTTTGCTCTGTTGACAAACTCTAGGATACACAGCTAAATACACTTAAAACCACATTTGCCTAACAAGGACACTCGACCAAAAATGTAAATCACCTCATGGAGTGGCCCAACCACATACTCCAGGAAAATCTGTTTCAATGCAGAAATAAATACCCCACTCACTGCATACCCCTCGTTGTCATTTACCATTCCACATTGTAACCCATATCATCAAATAGTTACAACTCATTTGATTGGGAGCATATCCTGAAAGAAATCTTTCCTGATCCCTCTATTCTGGCCTTCCAAGAACCCTCGCACCTAGCTAAGCTTTTCAGAAGCAAGCTCTCGCAGCACCCACCATCTCAAAGCAGCACAACACTTTGCCAAAACAGAAGATGCAGAACTTCAGCTACAGCCAAAACTCTAGTGCTCTGATGATCATTATCCTCACAACACATCTTTCAAAATGTATGGGTCTTGCACATGCCCATCACAGTGTGTGTCATTTGATGGTCTTCATCCAGTGTACCAGAAACCTAACCCGAACAACTTTGGTGAAACCAGACAATCCATATGCTCTTGAATGAACCCTCACAGAAAAATGATAAAATAAAAAGATCCTGTCATCCATGCGTGAGTGAACACTTTTCATGAAATGATGACTCCATATTGGTCCTCTAAGTAGTTATCCTCAAACGAAACCTTCAAAAGGCAAACTTGGGAACTTATTCATAATTCTGCTAGACTCTAAAAGCATGAAGTGAACAAAGAGATTAGTTTTAGGGCTCAGTACAACCATTTTAACACTTCTCACTGCATACTAACCCTTAATCAACCACTTCATTTTAAGTGATGTCCTACACTTAGCATATTAATCCCTTTATGCTTAATAATTTATCCCATTTTGTAATTAGCTCAGTTCCCTTCTCTAGACCAGAAAAAGCTCAAAACCTTGATCTTGCAGAAACAGAAGTTGGTCCAACAAGAGATGTTACCTCACTGCCTTGTCTTTCTTAGAAGTAGGCAAATGAGTTTTCAAATTCATCATTTTGTCATTTATATGACTCTTTACTTAGAGCCAAAAGGATAAAAGACAAAAAAATCTTTTGAATTGTATGCCCTAATTTGTAATAATATACAGTGGATAAACTTTCAGTTAAAAAGACTCTATTAGTATGTCAGGAAATTTGCAGTAAAATGTTTAACTGGTTGTACTCTGTTAACAGATTTATTACAGATAGGGAGTATTGCTTATTTTAATAATTACCAAAATTGCTAATTAGTGATTGACTTGACATTGCTTAGTTTTGGTCAAACCTATAGCAAAGTAGAGAGGTGGGGAAGTAATGAAAATTAAATAATTTGAACTTGGTGATGGCACAGTTATTAGCATCTAGGGTGGATCCTTCAGTGAAGATATTAATTCAAAATATAGTACAATTTCAAGAGCTGTTTCTAGAGACTTTTCTGCCAACCCAAAGGTTTTAGGTACTTTTTAAGGCACCTATCACTGAGCCATTTGAAATACAACCTATATATGTTAATTACATATTGCAGACTTCATTTAATGACATTTTTGTTGTGTGGGGCAGAAGTTACAGAATTCTGAGTGCATATCTGTGAAGACGAATCAGTGAAGTCTCAGAGAGGTAGCAGTGTTAGTCTGTGTCTGCAAAAACAACAAGGAGTTCTTTGGCATCTTAAAGACTACACTCATATAAATCTGTTAGTCTTTAAGATGCCACAGGACTCCCCGTTGTTCTTGCAATTAATTAAGAAGTGTCTGTGAGGAAATTGCTTGAATCTCTAGCTTCCAAAATTACTGCATGTCCATCAGTATAGATAGTGGAGTTAAGGGGGAATTGGGTTATCTGAAAAAAATGGGGTTAAAGTAGTGTCTTTTTAAATCTGCCTGAGTTAACCAAGGGTTCTGGATATTTTATGTACTTTTGGGCTGCTTCTTATTTAACCCATCTTTGTCATTATAGAGGCTTGTCTCCTGCAGAAGCAGAATTCAGTTATCTCAATACTGCACGTACCTTAGAACTCTATGGAGTTGAATTGCACTATGCAAGAGTAAGTTTGAATGAATTCTCATACTGTAATATATAGGTAGATTCATGATATTTTCAGGAACAGGTTAGTTACAATTTGAGTATATTGTTCAAGGCTCCAAAGTACTTAGTCATGGGCCTAACTTTCAGCAATTTGAGTAGCCCTTATTTGACCTCAATGGGACTGCTCATGCTTAAAGTTTCACAAAGGATTAAGTACCTTGCTTAGACTGAGCCTAAGTGAGATGAACATCAGGTTTGGCCAAGTATTTATAATCATATTGGATAAATGTGCTTATAGAATGTGTCTTTGGATTTAGGGAACTTTTGGCTTCTGAATGGTTTTGATTTAGCTTCAGTTAATATCCTGATAAAATGAATGGGAAGTTCTCGTGTTCACTATCTCACTTGAGTTGCAAGTTTCACAAAGCTTGTATAGTTTAAATATTGTGAAGGTTACATCATTGCAACCAGGGCATTAATGCACTTTGGACTGTGCAGATTATGGTCAGTATCCAAGTGTGTATATGAGACATCATTATCTCAGTTCTAAGTATGTTGAAATGTATCATTTGTAAGTAGGTCATTAGTAGGAAGAATTTCCCATCTGTTTCTTGAAGCCCCCCAACACAGATTTACATTTCACTTAAAACGCTAATCTTTAGACCGCTTGTATTCTTCTATTCAAAACAAGTTGTGTTCAGATTACTGATCTTAATTCTACATAAAGAAACTTGCTGAGTAGGTTTTCAGGTACTTACAACGTTTACATTACATAGATGCAACCAATCCAACAGATGTTGGGATATAGTAGGATCTGCTATGATTAGAGTGTAAAGCATTTTAGAAAAGTACAGTGTGAAATAGCAAAACTCCTATTTGTGCTATGATCTACCACCTCCAAGCCTAACACTTAAGTTGACCTAGCTCTTTCAATCAGATATGTAAAAATGTTGTGCCCTGTGAGACATAGATCAGTCTAACCCTTACAGTAGATGCAACCAGAATGATAGAAGAATTCTTCCTTCAGCCTAACAGCTGCTTTTTTAAGGGGGTGGATTTACCTTAGAGGTATAAAAACTAAGGTTAAGAGGCGGATAATTGGGTAATCATGTAGTTGATAAAATTTGTATCTACTACACGATTATTCAATAAGGGAAGGTGCTCAGAAGGAGCTACCCCTGCTGCAGCTCTGTAGATGAAATGTAGTAAGAGCTGGGCATGCAGGCAGCCCGGTTCTACTACATTTAAACTAGAGGTGCAGTGGGAGTAGATCCCAGACTCTGCATGAGCTGGGACTGACCTAGGCTTGCACAGTCCCGGGTCATGCCGGGTCCAACAGCCCCTGTCGACGGGGGGTCCCACCGGGGAGCTGCCTCCCTTGGCCCTCCTGCACAACTGCTTCTGATTGAGGAAGTAATGTGGGGGGCGGAGCCAGCAGCTCTGCCGAGATGGTGCTAGAAGGAATTGGCTCGCCCCAGGACCAGCTTCTGCTCCCTTCTCCTGGCTGCCTCTGATATAGAGGCAGAAAGTGTGCGTGGTGGGGAAATGCGTGTAGTCAACTGATTGACAACTTTTGCATCCCTAATAAAAAACCCTTTATTCTCTGCAGTAAATATCAAACACGTAACTGTAGCACTGTGCTGTGTCACTGTAGTACAGACCAGTGTTTCCTCTAATCTTTTCCATCCATGTGTGAAATGATTTTTTTTATGTCCATCAAGGCATATGTGAATGTGCACCACCACTAGAAGCAAAAAGCCTAGCTGTGAGTGCTATGCTAATTTTCTGGATGGCATTTGACTCTCGACTGAGTGGCCGTACGAGTGCACATCTTATAGGGAACACTAGTGTAGATGTCTCAGAGGGGTAGCCTTGTCATTGGTTAAATTTTACTAGTGTAGACAGTACCATAATTGCTAAAATTTTATTACCTTTTATATAAAAGTATAAGTCATTAGTTGAGTTCACAGTTGGGTTGCTGTCAAGTCAGTTGTGTTTCCTTATATTGTGTAACACCGTGGTCACCAACAGGTCGATCGTGAGCTACTGGTCGATCGTGAGGCCTCGACCAGTCACTCGCGAGGCGTCCTGTCCGCCCCGCCCCCATTTCCCTCCCACCCCCCAGAAGCCCCACTACTTACCTCAAGAGAAAACGGAGGTAGTGTTGGCTTCAGAAGTCCTGCAGCTTAGCGCTACTTCCGGCGATTCCAGAAGTGCGCTAGCTGCACTGCCGGCCGGGTGTACTGCGGGAGGGAGCATTGGCTCCCC